GTGCAGTGACACGTGCGACGCGTGCATCCGCCGCGACCGTGCGATTACGCGATTCTTTTCCCGCGGTCGCCGATGCGGACCTCCCCGCTTCCCGTTTCCGCGACCCGATTATGCGAGCGCGCGATTATCACCGTCGAATTATCTAGTCCGGCTCCGCATTCTGGTCGTTTTATTGCCGATGGACCTCGTCGCGATAACCGAGACTGTGCTTCGAGGCGATCACAATGATGGACAATCGACGACTGTGTCTGTCCGAAGAGTGATGCAATTCGGATGCGATTAGTCGTGGAAGAATCTTTTGGCGTTTTTAAGGCCGGTCTTGCAATCGGTCGGGCGTTTTTAGAGCTAGTTTAGTAGATCTTAGATATCCGTGCAATGTGTGCAATGTTGCAGTGAAGACTGCTGGAGAAGTCCAGCGGTTCGGTTCTTTCCCTGATTTTAATTGGAGAGTTTTAATTGAATTCGAGGTATAATGTTTCACATTTTTCTAGTCTTTTAATTTGTCTCTACTTTTGGATATCTGCTCGTTCTTCTCACGAGTGCATAAAATCTGCAATTCTGCAGAGATTGATAGAATAGATTGCTTTGATAGAGATAAGATAGCTTTTGCAGGTACTTCATTTTATATTTCATTGTTTATCCATGTTATTATTATTTTTATGTACGTTATTCATTCTAGAAATGATTACAATAAAATATACTTCGTTTCTGTCTTCTTTAAGTAGTAATATTTATATAAATTATTAAATTATAAGTAATACTTATTAAATAAATCCTCCAATAAAACTGCTACAGTTTTTTTCATGGAGAAGATCATTGTTCTCAACCATTTTAGAAGCAATAACATTGTCTCCAAACGCACTAGATACTGTTCTTAGATAATGCTCTTAAATAATGTTCTTATGCACACAAGGCTTTGAACAATGTCTTTAAACATTGTTGTATAAATAATGTTCTGAAATAATGATCTCATACATATGAAGTTCTGAATAATGTCCTTAAATCATATTCTTAAATAATGCTCTATACATATCAAGTCTTGAATAACAGTCTTAAATAATGTCCTTAAATAATATCCTTAAATAACGATCTTACACACACGCATAAAGTTCCGAATAATGTTCTTAAACCATGCTCTTAAATCATATTCTCAAATAATGTCCTTATACAAGCACCGCCAACTTAGAAAAATTCTTAAAAATCGTCAGATTTCCATTACCGAAGAATTTATGGGAGGGAGACTTAGAGAGTCTGTCAATCGAAGTCCGCAGGATCGAGTTTCACCTGCAGTAGCCCCGTAGAAGCCAAAAATGTGTTCGCCAAGAGCAAGGAAACGAGCCATTCGCTCAACGATTTATCGCGCGACGACGCGCTCGATCCTCGACACGATTTCGCAGTGATTCGCGATATCGCGATCCTGATGACCGCCTGCGGAGATGACAGAGTCTTCTCGGAGTGTTTTTCCTTCCTCGGAAACGACCGATGATCTCACAGGAGGCGGTGCGGCGGATTCGTCGCAACATTTCCCGCGCGGTACGCAGAGCATTATTCGCGCGGGGAGTTGTCGGGTCGCGCGCCTTTGCAAATCCTGGGTCAGGGGGTCGGTACGTGAGATCGAGGCCCTATCGCGTCTATTTACCGTTGTTCTCGCCGTAACACGCATAATGCCGGCCGGATTTGCATAATTTCGAGCTCAGCTGCGTTCGATTAAATCGCCGCGCCGCGCCTGCAGGTGATCGTTGCTTCTTTCCGGCTTCTGATTTAATCTTCTCCGTCCTTTTCGCGCGACCTTGTGCCTGCCGTTGCTCTAGTTGTGGACTGTTATCGTTGGTCATCGACTGTTCTAAACGTCGATCGAGGTCTGATCGATGATCGATCGATCGCCCGGTTCACTTCGCTATCTGCGAAGCAAGACAAGTGTCTCGTCTAAACGAGTACGGAAATTCGGTCGCCATTCGCAATTATTTTTCGAGGAGATTGTACCAGCATACACATTCTTTTGATACTGAGAAATTAGCTTCCTTCGGCGAAAATAAAATAAGATCGTACAAATCGTTTCTTTTTTTAAAAAATGGAATAGCATTTCTCCCATAAAAGTGTTGAAAGCGACCAGACAAAACGGTCATGATCATTATTAGAGAGCGTATTTTATACGTTTCTGAGAAAAATGGATAATAGATCGATCGTAAAACGGTAAAAACAATTGACAAATTTGACAACATATTACTCGCGAGTCATGCAAATTATTAAGAAAAGAAACGAACATTTCCGCAGCTTCTGTATTTTACAAGCGACGCAGGCAATTTTAATTTTGCACTAAAATCCGCGGTCTGATCACTGGTACAGATACTTGGTATAATTAAAGTACCCACACGGATGCGTGCAAGCGTCAAGAAAATCGACCGAACAATATTTCTCGTACATCAGCTTCGAACAAACAGATTCGATTGATACGCGCCGCGTGTCTATTAACACCTCCGAAGCAAATATTAGTTGTACTGCAATAACTATGTTAATGTCGCGACTGCTCCAATGGAATTTCCGCAGAGCCTAGTTCAGGGGTAGCCGTTATCGGATGAAAAATGTTTCCATAGAACCGTGGGACGAATCAAAAAGCCGCGAGCCGTCGAGCCGGGGCGCGCAGCCGGCAAAAGTTTCCGGAGTTTCTCTTCCCGTTCTAGCCATTGTTTTCGCGGCGACGTCATCGTCGGCACGCCGGTTTCCGGCTTGCGGCCTTTTTCTAGCCTAATGGCTCCTCCTTCGTCCTTTCCCGCAGCAAGGATACCGGAAACAGCGGGACAGTTTCCGCGCGAAGAAGAGAAAAGCTCGGTCGGACCGTGGCTCCGCATAAAATCGATACATTGTCCGACAGTTGTGCAACACACGCTCGCCGTTCCCCCGTATCTGTTGTCTTCCCGCCGCTCCCCCCGCTCTCCCTCGCCGCTCTTTTATATTATGCAGCCCGCGGGAAAGCTATCCCGGACGGATTTCGGTCAAACGAGCTTGGAAATCGGGCCGAGACGACGCGGCGACCGCGGTAACCCCTCCGCGGCGACCAAACAGTTTCGCCTCGACCATCGACGAACATGATTTTTCTTGCGATTGCACCCACCGTTGATTCGAAGAGCGAACCTTCCCCTTTGCAATGACACCCTCGAGCCTCGCGTACGATTTTCTTTTTAGCGTTTTATCGATCCCTGAACGACAGGTGCACGGACGACTTTACACAAATCCAAAGTGCATCGTGAACTGGTTCCTCATTTCTGATTCGTAGAAACGCTAAAAAAAATCTTCCGTCGAGTTTTAGGGGGCCGTTGCGAAGAGGAGGCTTCGATCTTCAAATCCGTTCGCGTTTCGTTCGTGACAAAAATTATTTAACGATTTTACAGGCGATTCGATGCGTAACGCTCGATGCAATCTGAATCGAATCGAGGAATATTTTTATATTTTATCGACGACATAAATAGGATAAGTTTTGCTATAATGACGATAGATGTTTTGAAAGACAGCGCTGAATCGACGCTTACGATTGAAATTTCCGCGAGGTCACGTGCTCGTGACAACGGCCGTCGAAGTGTTAAGGTGAGCTCGCCTCCATCCGCCGGAGGCAATTGTCGCCCAACCAGGAAGCCTGGACGACGTAATTCGCTTCACAGCCGATCCGCGGTCCAGGCTATGACGTAAGGGCACTGAAACGGTCGTGAGCCGTGCCCACGACCTTGGGTTTTCATCGCGTGCCAAGATTACGTTGGCGAAGCTCGCGTCGATCAATTATATACCTGTCGTTTAGCAGCGCGCGAGGACTGACCGGGCACCCGAACCGATACGGCCGCCCAGTTTCCCTCGTTTCGTCCCGTGTTTTCTCCGAATGTTATCGATCCACGGGGGTCCTGTTTTACTACCTCGCTAGCAACCGGACTCCCGGCCTCGGCTTTTATCCCCGTTTACCGTAACACGAGCTACCGGAGCCGAAACTCGCGGCGATCCGAGCTGGAAGACGCTGGGAACGCGTCGACGAGCCGCCGCTGTTGACCAAGGTGTCACTGCAGGGTATTATTTTTCCGTAATTTTCCCGCAATTTCATGGATCGCGAAGGTCGTTACGAGGTCTCAATCTTCGCAAAGCCGTGAATTTATGCGATACAGCTTAATGAATTTGTGAGAGAAACTTCGCTTCGTAAGAAACGAAGCGACAGTTCTATGAAATTTTACAACGGAAACCAATTTTTCTAGGAAAGTTAAGCGCAAGGGGGTGAAAGTAGAGGCTTCGCCCTTTAAAATGAGTGCTTGGAGAATATTGTACGATTTTTTTACACGTAGTTACGAGTGATCAAAAATCGACAATTCTTCATGAGCAACTTCCAGCGCAACTTCTTCTGAAATTAATTATTTAACCAGTTGGCTGTTTTTCACGACTATACTCGTCATAAAAGAAAATCTTGTCGTTCCATCGCGGCGAGTATATTGCACAAAAACAGCTACCCGGTCAAGGAAGATATTATACTTCGAAATTCATTATTAAGTTGTATATTTTATAAAAGTCTATTTTATAAAATTATCTATGTTTGTCTATAGCTTCAATAATTTATAAAATTATAAAATCCAAGGAAAATATATCAGACGTATACAGCGCAATCGCAATAACGTATCAAAGAGATTGCAGCAGCTAACAGGTTGAAGTAAACAATTGTAGAACCTCTCGCGAAAAAATGGTGTTTGGACAAACGCATCAGGGGTTTCCACCGAACTGTTTGCACCTCGTTCTTTCTCCGGAGTTCTCGGAACGTCTATTATACAATAAGAATCCTGAAACGTTGCCAGATCGCGGCCGTTCTAGCGGCCGGCACCGTAATTCGGACTTAACGCGTCACCGGAGCTCCCCGATCGAAAGATATAACGAGACACGTTGCGCTGTCCGAGGGTGAAATTGATAAGAGATGTACCCACAGGTGTCCCTGTAAGCGAGAGCTGTACTAATTGGGTGTCGCTCGATTGTTACAGATGTCGATCTACAAAACCAAGTCGAGGCCTCGCTGGCGATGCCCGCCACGTATCAGACCCTCGTCGCCCGGGCCCAGTTGGCTCAGCAATGCTGCGGATTGGCCGGGGGGCAGACCAAGATCTGCGAGAAGCTGGTGCACGACCAACATCTTCAGCAGCAGGGCTGGGCCGCCGTCGTCGCGAACTTGGAGGACATCACGCAAATGTTCCAGAATCGGGCCGCGCTTATTCAGCAGAGCTTGGCCGTCTACCTTACGGAGAGACAACAGCACATGGAACTACTTGCAAGGTGAGCATCGTAGACCTTCACATGCCGGTGCCTGAACGTTTGCCGGGAGGTTCGATAGGCTCTTAATTCCCTGGCTTAGAATTGATTTTTCAAAGAAACGCGCGTGCGCAGACAATTCGATACAACCCCATGCGAGTTGTTAACGTAAAATAAAGCTAGGATACTTCTGTTTTTTTGTCCGTAAAAGCAAAATATCGACGCTGTTTCGTTTAATCTTTGGTTGATTTGTTACTACGCTGCGTGAACGGGGTGTGAACCCTTTGTTACACGGAAAGTGTAATAGTAGCATAGTAACAATAATAACAACAACAATGGTGCTCAGAATTAAGGATGATCGTGTACAATAGCGATGGCAGAGCATTTATACCAAGAAGAGAAATTAAGAAAGTGATGCTAATATTAAATGAAAATTGAAAAGTATGCCTTGTAAGTTATATTTTTGATGTTATTTATTTTCTAATAATTTGGCATAACTACAATGATGCCCTTTTAAATAGAGAAGAGGGCAAGAGAATGTGCAAGCATCGCAACAATTTCTTTTTCTAACTGTTGAAAGAAAATATGGTTTTGAAACCTCTTTTCTAACATTTTTTGGAGAAACATTAAACGGCGATCTTGTCTCTGGAGCACAGGGTCTATTCACCCGAAAACATCTGCGCGAGACAGGCACATAAGAGCAGTGTTCGGTAAAGTCTCATTGAGAGCTCGGTGATTGGCACTTCGATATTTTCCTATGCAAGTGCATTCCACGCGCTAAGTTGCTGTTTGAAGACGCGTCTCGGCAAACGAACGGTCTAATCCGACGGGCACGTAGCACTGACGCAATGTCTAAGGATGTACACATAATTATGTTAGCGCTGATATACTGTATCTAATAACTAGCCTGCGGAACTCGGTGTAAATACCTGCTTCAACTGGCTCGTTTTGAAAGAAAACGATGCCAAGGAAGCCGTTCCTTTTAACACCGAACCTATCGAGCCGGTCAACGCTACCAGTTGCGCATGATTTATTTAAAAAAATCGTTGCAGTCGTAGGAATTGTGTCTCGATCGGTTTCTCAATCCAAGCGTCCGCTTCTAAATCAAATAGTTGAGAAATCTGAATAAATTCAGTCTTGGCGTAGATATACAGGGTGTCCCAAAAATGTCTCGCAATCCGAAAGTGGCGGATTCCTCAGGTCATTTGAAGCAACTTTTTCCTTTACAAAAGTTTTCTCCGAGGCACCATTAACGAGTTATTAACGAAAAACAGTGACCAATGAGAGGCGAGCTCAGCTGGCGCGAGGCGACTGGGCTTCGTGCGCTGCTTGGCTGGGCCGCCTCGCGTCAGCCGTACTCGATTCTTATTGGTCACTGTTTTTCGTTGATAACTCGTCAACGGTGCCTCGGAGAACATTTTTGTAAAGGAAGAAGTTGCTTCAAATGATCCGAGGAACCCGCCATTTCCGGATTGCGAGACATTTATGGGACACCCCGTATAGTATAAGAACTATACTATTATACTCTTATACTCTTATATATTGTTATATAGTATAAGAACCTATGTTCTCACTCTATAGTCTGTTATGTTCACTGTTAATGAAGACGTTAAACTCGAAGCAATAAAATCCGCTAGTAAAACGATTGAAATCGGCCCATTGTCTTCGCACAGAGCTAACTACCATCCCACCACGTGTTAGATACATGAAATAATAGATGCAATCGATATTTCTGTTTCAGCTTCAACGCCGACCTGAATATGCTCTCGAAAATCCCGATCCTTCCAACGCTGCGAGCCCAAGCAGAAGGTCTTTTGAGCCCCGAAGACAAGCCGGAGAAAGAGGTCGAGGGCCAAAAGGAGATCTGCAGCCTGCTGCGTTGGATCTCGGCGAAGGACAACCAGAGCAGCCTGGGACAAGTCGCCGAGCAATGCTCCAAAGGATTGGAACAGTTCGACGAGCGCGTGATGGAGGCGTTGAAGTCGGAGGTGAACGTGGCGATCGACGGCGCGAACAAACAGGACATGAAGGAAATCAAGGGCCTGGGCGAGCGTTTGTTCGCGCTGGAACAGCTGATGCAGCAGACGAAGAAGATCGTGCAGGATCAGACCGAGCTGGCGCAGGGGTTCCAGCAAAATCAGAACCGAGCTAGCAACCTGGGCGACGCCAGCGTGTTGCCGGACCTTTGCGCGTCGCACAGGCGTCAGCTGCAGGTGATGATGCAGAACCACAACCAGCTGAGGGACATACGGCGGCGGTGCACCAAGGCGAAGGAGGAGCTCTCTGTGAACATCTACTACCGGCTGAAGTGGATCATGTACGTCGAGAACAAGATGATGATGGTGGACAGCAAGCTGATGATGTACAACGAGAGCTTGAAGCGGCTCAGGCGGCACCTAGAGGTGCTGCAACAGATCCACATGGCACCCCAGATGTACATGAACGCCGTGGCCGAGGTGGTGCGAAGGAGAACCTTCTCGCAAGCATTCTTGATGTGGGCCAGCAACCTCGCTTGCCAGTTGCTCACCGTTCACAGCGAGGAGCTGGCCCGGCGCAGGGAGTTCCAGAGCAAATTCGACGGACACTTCCTGAACACCTTGTTCCCGGGGCTGGAGGACACCCCGCCGCCGTTTGCCACCCAGGCCCCCTCTGTCTTCGACAGCCAATTACCAAAAGTGCGTATATACTATTGTCTTCGGAGGAATTCAGAGACGTTGTGCTTTCTCGCGATTTTTTTGGGTTCTTTTTATTCGTTGCTTGTGTTACAGTTGACCGTGGAGGACATGGAGTTGCTGAGGACACAGTTACCGGACCTGGCTCTAACCGTGTCGTCACCTGATTTGAACACCATCACCCGGTTCTTCTTGTCGAAGAGTTTCACCGACGCCGGCACGGGTGAAACTGAAACCGGTGATAAATCTTCCGTGAACGTCGACACGGGCGCCAAGGAACTGGAACTCGCGAGAGCACCGATGATGTCCGACAGGTACCCGACGACTGAAAAGAATGGGGACTCGGTGATTTCGTGTTCGAGATATAATCCTTCGCGACGGTAACGTTACTGTCTAGCGAAATCGATCGGTCGCGCCCGCCGAAACGGATTGCTCGAACGATCCGTTCTCATTGCTAATACCGATTTCTATGGCTGTAGGGGTGGCTTCGAATCGGAGACGGACACCGAGGAGTTCGAGAAGATCAGGCAGGACGCAACGGACTCGAAACCCGAGTCGTTCGACGGCGCTAAGCAAATGCGTCAGAAACAATTGGAGGTTGGTGCCTCGCGAAGCGTGTCCCCTTCTTCCTCGACCTCGACTAACGTATCCCCGCTAAACTCGAAAGTCGCGGACCAGAAGAACCGTGCGTCCTCTACGAACGAGCCCGGATCCTTCCACTTTCCGAATCTGTCCATCAGCGAGCGTCCGGCTCAGTTGAGTCCCCTAACCGAGTGCGCGGAGAACGCCGAGTCGAGCTGTCTGCTTCATCGCGCCGCGACCGGTCTATCCAAGTATAGCGAGCAACCCACCTCGACCACGGCTGAGGAGCCAAGTTCCCTAAGTCCGAATCCTTCTTCCCTGACGCGGTCCGTGTTGTGCGACGGCCAGCAACATCACCTACATCAGCAACAGCAGCAGCAGCAACGGCACCAGCTGTCCAGCAGTGGCGGTAGCAGTCCNCTGGGCCGCCTCGCGTCAGCCGTACTCGATTCTTATTGGTCACTGTTTTTCGTTGATAACTCGTCAACGGTGCCTCGGAGAACATTTTTGTAAAGGAAGAAGTTGCTTCAAATGATCCGAGGAACCCGCCATTTCCGGATTGCGAGACATTTATGGGACACCCCGTATAGTATAAGAACTATACTATTATACTCTTATACTCTTATATATTGTTATATAGTATAAGAACCTATGTTCTCACTCTATAGTCTGTTATGTTCACTGTTAATGAAGACGTTAAACTCGAAGCAATAAAATCCGCTAGTAAAACGATTGAAATCGGCCCATTGTCTTCGCACAGAGCTAACTACCATCCCACCACGTGTTAGATACATGAAATAATAGATGCAATCGATATTTCTGTTTCAGCTTCAACGCCGACCTGAATATGCTCTCGAAAATCCCGATCCTTCCAACGCTGCGAGCCCAAGCAGAAGGTCTTTTGAGCCCCGAAGACAAGCCGGAGAAAGAGGTCGAGGGCCAAAAGGAGATCTGCAGCCTGCTGCGTTGGATCTCGGCGAAGGACAACCAGAGCAGCCTGGGACAAGTCGCCGAGCAATGCTCCAAAGGATTGGAACAGTTCGACGAGCGCGTGATGGAGGCGTTGAAGTCGGAGGTGAACGTGGCGATCGACGGCGCGAACAAACAGGACATGAAGGAAATCAAGGGCCTGGGCGAGCGTTTGTTCGCGCTGGAACAGCTGATGCAGCAGACGAAGAAGATCGTGCAGGATCAGACCGAGCTGGCGCAGGGGTTCCAGCAAAATCAGAACCGAGCTAGCAACCTGGGCGACGCCAGCGTGTTGCCGGACCTTTGCGCGTCGCACAGGCGTCAGCTGCAGGTGATGATGCAGAACCACAACCAGCTGAGGGACATACGGCGGCGGTGCACCAAGGCGAAGGAGGAGCTCTCTGTGAACATCTACTACCGGCTGAAGTGGATCATGTACGTCGAGAACAAGATGATGATGGTGGACAGCAAGCTGATGATGTACAACGAGAGCTTGAAGCGGCTCAGGCGGCACCTAGAGGTGCTGCAACAGATCCACATGGCACCCCAGATGTACATGAACGCCGTGGCCGAGGTGGTGCGAAGGAGAACCTTCTCGCAAGCATTCTTGATGTGGGCCAGCAACCTCGCTTGCCAGTTGCTCACCGTTCACAGCGAGGAGCTGGCCCGGCGCAGGGAGTTCCAGAGCAAATTCGACGGACACTTCCTGAACACCTTGTTCCCGGGGCTGGAGGACACCCCGCCGCCGTTTGCCACCCAGGCCCCCTCTGTCTTCGACAGCCAATTACCAAAAGTGCGTATATACTATTGTCTTCGGAGGAATTCAGAGACGTTGTGCTTTCTCGCGATTTTTTTGGGTTCTTTTTATTCGTTGCTTGTGTTACAGTTGACCGTGGAGGACATGGAGTTGCTGAGGACACAGTTACCGGACCTGGCTCTAACCGTGTCGTCACCTGATTTGAACACCATCACCCGGTTCTTCTTGTCGAAGAGTTTCACCGACGCCGGCACGGGTGAAACTGAAACCGGTGATAAATCTTCCGTGAACGTCGACACGGGCGCCAAGGAACTGGAACTCGCGAGAGCACCGATGATGTCCGACAGGTACCCGACGACTGAAAAGAATGGGGACTCGGTGATTTCGTGTTCGAGATATAATCCTTCGCGACGGTAACGTTACTGTCTAGCGAAATCGATCGGTCGCGCCCGCCGAAACGGATTGCTCGAACGATCCGTTCTCATTGCTAATACCGATTTCTATGGCTGTAGGGGTGGCTTCGAATCGGAGACGGACACCGAGGAGTTCGAGAAGATCAGGCAGGACGCAACGGACTCGAAACCCGAGTCGTTCGACGGCGCTAAGCAAATGCGTCAGAAACAATTGGAGGTTGGTGCCTCGCGAAGCGTGTCCCCTTCTTCCTCGACCTCGACTAACGTATCCCCGCTAAACTCGAAAGTCGCGGACCAGAAGAACCGTGCGTCCTCTACGAACGAGCCCGGATCCTTCCACTTTCCGAATCTGTCCATCAGCGAGCGTCCGGCTCAGTTGAGTCCCCTAACCGAGTGCGCGGAGAACGCCGAGTCGAGCTGTCTGCTTCATCGCGCCGCGACCGGTCTATCCAAGTATAGCGAGCAACCCACCTCGACCACGGCTGAGGAGCCAAGTTCCCTAAGTCCGAATCCTTCTTCCCTGACGCGGTCCGTGTTGTGCGACGGCCAGCAACATCACCTACATCAGCAACAGCAGCAGCAGCAACGGCACCAGCTGTCCAGCAGTGGCGGTAGCAGTCCGTCGGTCGGCGTTGGCGGCGGTGCCGACTTCATGGGTACTGAGTTTTACATGGACGAGTCGCTGCCGAGCAGCCTCAGCGAGCATCCTGTCGACGGACAGCATCAGGCTATCATTTCCCTTCTCCAGGTACTGGACGACTTACAGCTCGCTAACAGACCTCGTAGTCGTAGCCGTAAACGTTCCACTACCTCTAATTCAGAACCTCCCGCCGATGGTACACCTTTGCTTACTATTCTACCACCAAGGGCAGACACGGGCCACGATTCTACCGGCACCAACGGCCCGTACACCACCCTCCACAAGTATCTGTGTACCGCCAATACCCTTCCAGTGGGACTGTTCATACTGTTTTCTATCTAGTACTAACGCGCACAGGTCACGGTCCATGTTAAAAAATTGTGTTTAACGTCATCTCGTACGAACATAAGTTACATTTAAACGAATGTGTCGGTTTGGAACCGAGTGTGTTCACTTAACACATGATGCCACTCTTTTATTTCTAACAGGGGAACACACCGAAGCGATACACGCCGATTTTTATGAAACTTCGCAGAAACGATCGCATATATACGCGCAGTTATAAGTTTTAACCGTTCCAAATGAAATTACAAGTTGCACCACCACGTAATTATTCAATATAACCTGTAAATCTCCTACTTGTTTAATTATTCGCATCGAAACCATTTTTTAAAATGCAAGAATGAAAATTCTACTTTATTCGTACCTTGGAGTTGGGTATGCACTTCTCAAATTTAACATTTGAATGGAACAATTTACAAAGAAGTGTCATTTTTTAATATACTCTTTAAACCAATTAAGATATTGCGAATCAGATTACACAGCTCGATTCGTTATTCGGAAATACATCGGTTTGCAATTCGAATCGCCCTTCTAGCTCTAATAATTTCCGAGTTATTGTTCGATCAAGTAACCTCACCTTTGGGTTCTGCTTTCACCCCCTTTTCCCAACGATTTCATCAAAATCGTTGTGTACCGCTTCGGCATGTTCCCTGGTCAGTACACACTGTTTAACGCACAACATGAAACATCAATTCTTAAAGAAGCCTAGAGCACCAGACGAAGTAACCGAAAAGTTACCGTACAAGTGTAAGATTACTTAGATTAACGATACAGAGTTTTTTATTAGATTCTACAAGGCGTCCAAATACTTACGGACGGCAGTGTACGTCGGCCTCGCTCGCGAGCTCCTGTGTATCCTCCTGCGAGCACTCGTTGTTTGGTGGCGAGACTTTGTGGGCGTGGCGCAGTGCGGCCAGGATGGTGGGGACACGACGTCCGCTTGCGACTGGCCGTGCGAGCCGAGAAACCGCGGAGTGGGAATTGGGGAGCTCCGCCTCCAAGCGTCTCCGTGCCCGTAGGAGCTCGAAGCAGTGCTCGCCAGTGCTCTTTTGCTAGTTTTATGCTCTATTTTTCGGTAGATCTCGCCTGGGTACACCGTCGCAGTTGTAATTATCTGATCGCGACACTCCTGTGTTGCAAATCCGAATCATGACACCGGTCGAACGGACAGGTCTTCTTAAGAAAAACGGAGCATAGTACTCGCCAGCAGTCCCCGGTCCAGAGTCTGGCCATCGATGTCTCCTCACACCTTCATGTGTTTTTTTGTGATCCTGCATCCTCACCTCGTTCGTCGTCGATGTAGATCACCGTCCACTTACGTTCCCCTTTCTCTGTGGTTTCTAGGTATTTTCGTTGTCATTGTCTTTTGTCTCGCTAGCCAATCTATTAGCGCTGACTTTGTGCAAGTACATATGTATGCCCAGAGACGCCGGTATGTATCTCTTGCCTGCCGATTACCGTTGCTGTGAATTACCCGCCAGTTCTCCGATCCCCTTCTAAATCTCTCTTCGACTCCTGACTCGTAGTGGTGTCCCACCGCGTGCAGGTTTCGTGTGACTGCGTGTGTCTTAATTTTTTTAAATTACAGGATAGCTGCCGTCGCACTCGTATCCCCATCCCCTCAGACCCGAAGTGTGACACACACACACACAGAGACTCTATCCCGAGATCTATTCAATCAAGTTTCTCCAGAATGTTAACCGACTTCTTGTCGTTACTGCATCGGGCACACTGTTCCTCGGGGTTCTTGTCTATTCTTTTTTTTCACATTTCTCATCGCCAGAGTTACTATTATCCCGCTTCCGATCTACTAACATCTCCGTCACTGGTCACAGACAAGTTCTCGATGCTCGAGACAGCGAGGGAACTGTTCGAACGTGTCACGAATCCTCGCTGACTCGATCGTCCCAGGGTGTAGCGAAAGTTATGGTAGAGAATGAAAGCGATCCGATGATTCGAGAAATGTATAGTAGTCTGAAAAAAGTAGCGTTGCTTTCCGTTCGACGCCTCGATCTCTCGAGGTCTTCAAAATTGCTCGAGGACTTCGAAAGGCTCCTCCTTCTGCCACGACTTTCACACCTACACCCATTTAATCACTCATTTTAACGCCTTCCCGTCCGGCACCGCTGATCGTTTCTCATCGAAGTGTCTTGGGCCGGCCGTTTCAGGAAAACCTTGGAAACACGCGGGATGAGGTGGAGAGGCTGCGCTCCATCCTGAGGACGATGAAAGCAGCGATGAACGAAGCGGTGTCATCTGTCCGCCAAGAGCTGTTGATTTTGCGAAATCAATCGAACGAAGACAAGACAGGTCTTGGCGAGATGACGGACCGAATTCGCGAGGCGTTGTCCCTCTATTCGAACGAGTGTGATCGTCGTCTTCGAGAACGTGAACAGGAAATGACGGTGGACCATGAGCTGGAGATGGCCGACATGAAGAAGCTGATCCAAAGCCGCGAGGAAGAGATTTGCACCCTGAAACGGAGCCTGATGGAAAAGGAGACGGAGCTGTCGGAGCACGAACGTCTCACGGCAACCATCAGGCAGAAGCTCGAGTCGGGGCAAAACGAAATGAGGAACTTGAACACGCGGCTCCATCAACAACTGGATGAAGCGTTGGAGCAAGGTTGCGCGGCTAAAGCGAGTGCCGAGAGGTTTCAGGACATCGCCTCTTTGACTAGTTCTATGGCCCAGTGTCGAGACAGGATCCAGGAACTCGAGAGCACCCTCAACACCGCTAGATCGGATCAGCAAAGGTTGGTCGACGCCACCGACATGCTACACATGGGCTACCAGTCGCAGCTTGACCTCACCGAAGGATTGATCCACAACGAATTCTTCGAGAAGGTAATGGCGAATTGAAATTCTAAATTCATAGTTTTCCGTTTCTCAGTTTTCGAGGCTATTCGCTCAAACCTCGCGCCAAATTCTCTCCGAGAAAACTTGCTAGGGTTCGATTAAGAAATAAGGACTGAATAGAGCATTTGGTTTTCCAGATGCCGGACGTGCTGAAGATGGCCTTTCACTTTCTTGCGCAGGTGAAAGAGAGCTACGTGGCCATTCGTACAGCCGTGGAAAAGGAGCGTGGAGCCAGCAGGAAGCAGGTGGAGTTGGAGTTGCAGATGGTTAGGCACGTAGTGGACGAGAACGAGCAGGAGGTGAAGATGTACAGGATGAGGGAGTTCGCGCTGCAAGAAGAGCTTGAACAGTACAAGACAGCGATCAAACGAGTTACCAAGTCTGAGGAGTTCAAGGACGTGCCGGAGGAAATGAGCTTAAGCCACGTCCAGGAGGTGCTGAAGTGCCTCAGGTCAGGGAAGGACGAAGTCGAGGTTTCGGAGTCAAAGAAGGTGCGGTTGGAAGCAAACGACGACCAAAGCTGCCTCACCAGACGGCTCGAGACCCTCGAAAACGATAACAAGAGGCTAAGTTTGGAGATGGAATCGCTTCGGGAGTACAAAGCCAAAGCAAAGACGAAGATCGAGGGGCTGAAGGCTGATAAGCTCCGGATGGAGATGGAGCTAGTCATGCTGAGAACAAGAAGGTTCACGGCTCCCGCTGAAACCTCGTCCTCGTCCTCTGAGGGTCGTGAACGGGAAATGATTGGCTCTGTAGCAGTATTGACAGACGGTGTCTGTCGGGATGCAGCAACCAGTACTGAGACGCAGTGCACGTGTCCGATGCACTGCGGCAACGTCCGCAGAAAAATGAAGAAGTACGCGGAGAAGCTGGTCCAACAAGGCTGCATCACTGTCAACAGCTGTGATCCCGGCGATAAAGTTCTCGTGTATTGGAATCCGATTCACGAGAATTTTACCCTCTATCAGGAATCGGCCATGTACTACTTCCTGAACGCCGATTGCATCCCCGAACTAAACCTCGGCTCGCCCAAGAAGCTCCACACAGTCGTCGAGGTTGTCGACAAGGATTACTGTCAAGCCAAAAAGGTAAGCATGAGGCGTACATATTTAGGTTAATATAATGTAATTATTATTTAACATTAAGTTTGAGTTATTATTTAACATTAAACCTCTACCGAGCCCTTAAAGTAACTAACGTGCGTTGTTCTACAACAAGGAAAAGACTATTTAGGTTTAGCGTAGATTTAGCAGGTTTAGTGTTAAAAGAAGACTATCGCGCTTCACTTAGGCACAGTTCAATCGGATGAAAATAAGCTTCCGGTAATGTGTTGATACTAAAACTAATTCATTTATCGATTATCGTCTTTCATGTTTCACTTCTCAGATATTTATATCGTAATTAAGTAGCATCTTCTACATATATTATTACGATTTTGGTAAAAGCTAACAAGCATATATTGTGCTGTGACGCCGAATCGACGATGTATTCGGTTCGTCTGCAATCTAGCGATTGGTAGAGGTCGAGGGTATAATGAAGATTTCTGATTTTAGTCCGAAAACCGATTCCATGTACCCCACGGCACCAAATTCTACCGGGTGCGCGTGAAGGCGATAGCAAAGTCCAGGCCGATGATGTCTAGCATGCCAACTCCACCAGAAGAGCCCATCGATTCTTACCTGTCACGACCATCCGGGAATGTAGATCCATTGGATCTTGGCCAAAACCTGCCAGAGCCTGCAGACGCATCCAGAACCGGCTCAGACGTCGAGCATGACGATCGCTCGATGTTGGACCGTCAGTGGTACAGGCCGCCGGAGCCACTGCGTACGCTGGGAACAGGCGATCAGACGATCAGAGAAGAGGATGCGCCAGCGTTTCATTGTGATATAAATAATTTTTAAAAACGAGTGAAACATATAATTGCCGAATGCTGTGGTTAGCTGTGAAAAGTGTAAACTACGATTTGTATATTCCTTTTCTGTTTCTTTTGTCATATATATATATATATACATACATATATATACATACACACGAACAGAGAGAGAGACATGTGTACATAGGTACGAGTATACGGAGAGAGACGAATGTGTACGCGCGAGAGCAAATGGGACGGAGAGAATGCGCGAACGGACGAGAGAAAGAGAGAGCATGCGAGAAAATGTATAGGTGAGAAAGGAATATAATATTATTAATATCGACGACGTGATTATTCTTGTGATTCGACATGTTGAACCAGCGAGTGTGATAGCAGCGGGAGAGGAAGAAGGATAGACAGAGCTGTGTTTTTGTTTTTTGTCATTTTAAATTCGGACACCGAATCAAAACTTTGTTACTTGATCCAATTCGAAGCTATTCATTATTATTGTTATGTTATATTTATATTATTATTATTATTATTATTATTATTATTATTATTATTATTATCACCATCATCTTCGCACTGCATGATGAGAGAGAGAGAGAGAGAGAGAGGAATATATATATATATATATATATATAAAGAAAGAAAAAGCGGTAAAACGAAGTCGAAGATGAACGAAACAAAAGATAAAAAGAAGATATCGCATAGTAGAGTAAGTTTTACAAGAAAACAAAACGAACTTGGAAGTTTAGTGAGAAAAATCACAAAAAAGATAGAAAGGAAACGGTAACGAATAAACTCGGTTACTTTCTATATATATATAATATATACAATACACGTTATGTATATAATATATGCATACGTTATATGTATATTTTGACGCGTGTGCTCGAGAAAAAAAGTCCACTCTGTCTATACAGTATATATATATATATATACATTCTGTTTCCCCAACGATCCGTGTCGGAAACGCGATCGAGGGTCGGAAACGGAGATGAACGCGAGACGCCGATAGACGTCGGCTTCGTTGCGACACGCTCGCGATATGTGTCTTTTTTGATTACCGATTTCCGTAACCGTTCACCACTATTATCGTTTTCTCCGCCGACAGTTTAAGCACTCATAGTATCGTACAATAGCTGTGATCGTTAGGCTCGACGTTTTCACTTCTACTTAGTCGTTAGTTAATCTTAATTCCCGGCTGCCGCCTGCGGCGAGCGACGCCACGCGATCCGCTCGGCCGCTACTCCCGAAGCATTTTCTCCCGGGATCGAGCGGATCGCGGGGACGACTTTCCAGCTCGCCGGAGCCGCCGACTATTTCGAGTTCGAGCGACGCCGCCCGCGTTTCACGGTGGCCCGCCGAAAAGATGCTGATAAGTAAGATAAAAAAAAAGACGAAGCGACAAAACTCGTTTTCGGTAGGTTGTAGCTCGAGCTTCGTCGAGAGAACGACGCGCACCCGCTTCTGACATAGCGCAAGTAGCTCATTTAACGATTCCTCTTTCTTCGACAGGCCGCAAGCGAAATTGCACCCGCGGACACACGCATACACACGCGCGCGTGCGCGCGCGCGCACGCACCGATTTAGCACGAATTCTTGGCCGCGGGTCGTCCGCGACCCGCCGCGACTCGCCCCTTCGTAGACACGAGAATCTCCCCCGTACGCTTCGGTCGACGTCCTGTCGTCGCGTCGATTCGCTGAGACACACCGTGCACGGAAATAAAAAGCTAAAAATCGAGCGATCCTCCGGCATCAACGAAACAGGGACACCAATGTCTCCGATCACATTTTACTTATAGTAGTCTTTTGAAGGCTGTGCACGCGAACTCGTGTCCGAGCGTAGAACCGATCGTACGAAGGCAAGACTGAAAGCTGTGTAAAGCTGCTCGCGATTTTCGTTTCTTTTAACTATATAGACTGTAAGGGTGTATTTTACGTTCGACGTTCTTAAAGCGGCCGCGCGCATCGATTGCGAGCCGCGGGTGACAATCCGTACAAACAAATCATTTATTTCGAGACTAATCAACGAACGTGCGGCGTTTTCAAGGAGCAGGCACTAGAGATGATTTGATTTTTGCGCGAGGACACTCGGACACGAATTCCCGTGGATCTTTTTAACACCAGGGATCGATCGATCGATTCGTAATCGGCAGAGTTCGACTCGGAGACGCTCCTTCGACGCGCACGCGAAAACCGAGTGCACACGCACGCGACCCACGGTTCCTATTAGTCCAATTTTTCTTCGACCTTCGAAGGCACTCGTAGACCACTCTCCGCACAGTTAGGCGAACCGACTCGTAGAAAACGTGTGCAACCTCTGTCCATGTAGAACAGCTGTGTCCGACCCGCATCTTCTTCGTCACCTTTGTCCTTCGGGAGCGCCGCACGGGCAGTGTAACTGCAACGTCGTTAGACGGTCAATCGACGCTGCAGCTTATGCACCGACGGTGCCACCCGGGACGCTAAACTCTTTTCTTTCTCGCGCGGAAGCCGGACCGATTGCTCCGCACCCTCGTAGTCGCTGGAAAGCCATAAGCAGCGAACTCGAAGAGGAACGAGCGCGAGGTGCGATCGTTTTGGTATCATTTCTTTTTTGTCCGGGGCAGTCGTTCCAGCTTCTCGACACAGCGGCTACTCGTAAACGTTTCTAACACGTTGGGAGCAATTAGGTTGGTTGCAAAATAGAATCAAAGCCGGCGAACGACACCTCGAAGAGGGTTCGCCCGGCCCGGTTGCTGCGGAAGCCCGGCGATCAGCACGGAAACACACTGGTATTTAATTCTAATTTTAGTTTCGAAAGTACCTTGTATTATATGTTGGAAAGCCTTTTTTTCACCTTTGTCTATGAAGAACGAAATAAAAGAATGTAGTGCCTTCTACAATGAAAAACCGAGCGAATTTATTATTGAACGAATCGACGCGCCGACGTTTTCTTTTGTTTTTTAACGGACGAACGACGCCGGCTCGGAACGTCTCGCGAACCGTGAACCGTATCGCGTCGAACGGAGAAAAAATCAGGACAAATTCTAAAGCTTTATTAGGGTTAGTGACACTAAGCCGGAGTGTCCGCTGCTTCGATCACAGATTCCGTTCGAACTGGTCCACGTTTCCCGGGACTCTCTCTCTCCCGGCTACGTTCGTTTCGCTTTCGTTTTTAATTGCTTTTGAATTTTTCCAGGAACCAAAGAATGTAACCACGAAGCGATCGAACAATTTGCAGCAACGCGCGCGCGCAGTCGAAACACGTTCGGTTCGTTCGTTTGTTCGTTTGATTCGACGCTCTCGCGGCGCGCATCTCTCGGATCACGATTCGGAATAAACGATTCGGAATAAACGATTCGGAAAAAAGAAAGCTACTCGCGCGGCAGCCTGGATACGTTTTATTCGATCGCGCGAACCTGGAGGACTTCCGGTCGCCGGAACGCTGCTTCCGGAAGCTGGTCCGGATCACATTCGCCGGAGATCGGCCGCGCGTTACTTTTTAAAATGCAAATCGAAGTCAAGCGATCTGGTAGCTTCATTGTGGATGAGAACATTCGTTTACCCAAGGGCGGAATTGTTATTACCTAAATTCGATGGCGAAAAATGGCCGGAGACTCGAGCGATCCCGCGACCCAAAATGGCGGACAGAGCCGCGTTTTTATTTTTCTAGTGATCCCCCGAATCGAACAAGCTTCCCGTTCTTTGCCTAACGCCTAAACGAAAGTAGCGACGAAACCAAAACGGACAAAAATGGAGGAGGGATGATTATAACGCTGCACACAGTGTACATACTTTAGGCGAAGACACACGCGTGTATAGGGGTGCGAAATCATGTGATTCGATCTCTACGTAGAATACTCTTTTCTTGTTTTATTTTTACCGACCAAAATTTATACGCTTAGGAGGGTATCCATGCGAGAGGCGGGGAATATCCGGACGAAAATGAATATATGGATATGTACAAATGAATATAAATATATATATATACATACATACATGCATATTGTATATGTCACTATTGGGAACGTTAGGCGGCTCGATTAGGTTCGCTTTCTGCCGACAGTGCTGGGAATTTCGTTCGGTTTATTTATTCGTGTTCCACCGTTTTCCGTTTTTCGTTTACACGGCGAAGCCGATTTCGTTGCTGTGGACGATTTCTCGCGACGACTTTTGGGATCCGTTCGATCAAGCAATCACTTTTCCGGGGAACAAAAGGGCACACCTACAGGCTCATCTAGCTCCGAGCACAGGAATTCACTAGCCAACGAGATCCGCGAGCCGCCGAATCGCTGACGAACGATCCCCGGCGTGTTGTTTCCTTCTGATTACGGAGCGTTCTTCAAATTCAAAAGCGTGTCCCGATCGCTTGCCGATCGCCGGTTCACGCGCGAACAACGTAATCGGCACAGCGACACCGCTTTCGTTTATTAAATGTATATTCGTGCAATTGGGAAACATTGATACCGCTCTGGATCGGCAGGCGCTCGTCGATCGTTCGGCGATCGATCGCGGCGAACGGATTTCCGCTCCCGTTTCCGTTTCTCGTCTCCATTGAGTTTCAGCGAGCGACGAACGTGTCGTAAATAAATGATCAATGAGGATTCGTGAAACCGGCGGGGAAGAGTACCGCGCATGTAATCCGAGAAAGTGTAACGCAAAATAGGTGTATGATAAGATTACATAACGTACATACAAATTGTGATCGTGAGAGTATCTGTTACGAATAAATAAATTACGAATAAACCACGTGACTCTTTTCCAAGCTACGCCGACTCGATTGCTTTGAACTCGCCCACGTTCTCCACGACATCCTTTCTTCACCTTAGAAATCGATTATTGTCGCAACTGTTAAATCGACGGCTTTTTAAAGCAATAATTTAGGCATCGAGAGGATTGAAAGCGGTCCTGAATTTTGTTCGTATCGCCAGATGTTTGACAGTTCGGCTGCCATATTAACAATCTCAAGAATTTCATAAAATCAAAGTATTTTATTCAATAATTTTTTTTAAATTGAGATGTTACGTTCTACAGTGTTAAATGTTTCTTCATCGTTATTAACATTTGCAGATTCCAATGAGATTAGGAAGATGTAACTTCTGAAAGTAACGAAAATTTATCTGTTTGCAATCGTTGGTTTCTTTCATTTTTCTTGTCAAAACGATTTAGCCGAAGAGTTTCGGTGAATTTATTCCTGCTCATTGTTTTAGAAAAAAATTCAAGACCCAATGTTTTTGTAAACACGCAACAGCCGCGAAAGGATATGAAGAAAGTAAAAAAAGAATGAAAAAATTGAGCAAATATAACACGTCTGTTATTTTGTACAATATACATGTACGAAAATATATACCTAGTTTTCCAAAAATGTATTTGAAATATACAAAAATAATATGAGAAACTTCTAAAATCACAAATTCACTAACAAGTTTACAGTTCCGTGATGGTTAAAATGACTCATCTCGGTGTATAAAGGTATACTGCATACAATTTTACATCAAAATGACAAACAAAAATAAAACTGTTTTACAAAATTAATTATTTGCATATTTTAGAAAAAGTCATACGAAATTGTAGAAAACAAAATGTACTGAAAATGAATAATGATTGCAAGAAATGCTAAACAAGTCATTTTGACCCTCCTTGGTAGATCCAGCGTTAAAATTAGGCCACTGATACGGTCATTGGTTCACACAGTAGACAGAAAAATAAGGAAAACTAGATTCTTCGTACCAATCTTACTAATTTTGTAAAAATGAGCAGCAAATAATTATTTACGAGTTTTTAGAACAAGAAGAAACCAATAAATTTATCACATCCTCCAAAACTCGAGAAAACCCTTTACCTATTGCATCGTCGCCCCTATTTCGCGAATCCTAAACCGCGAACAAACTGACTCCGGGATTCTGAGATCCTTGGGCCAGGCCACGCAGGGCCCTACGTGCGTGGTGCACCCTGCACAGGCACGATTTCCGGGAATCCGACGCATAAAATGCATAAAATGCACTTTGTCATATAAAATGGAAACGCTATAATTAATATTATATATAATTAATAAACGCATAAAATGGAAACAAGCCAGAAAAATTACTTTAGATTTACAGTTAAAATGGCTTCAAGTGCAAAGGGTTAAAATCGCGCGAGCACAATACGCGGCGAACGAAAATTCCGCCCCTCGCTCCGCGTCTCCCACATGACGTCCGTCCGTTACGAAGTAACACATTCGCGAGTATCAAAACGCACGCGTACGGTCTATGACCCCGCGATCGCGCGCGCGTTATTATGAACAGAGACCTTCGCCGAGGGCATTGTAATTTCAATTTTGATTTGAACCGTTAGCGCGTGCCAATTAAACGGGCGTGTTGTCGCAGCAAACTCCGTATCTAGATCCTTTCCTCGCGGCGATCTCTCGATCACAATCGGCAAACCGCGAGAGTTTCGATCGCGAACAGGGCCGGGCGATTTATTATAATTATATATTAATATTAATATAATATATAATTATATAATATATAATATAATAATAATAATAATATAATAATATTATATAATATATAATTATATTAATAATATTATATAATATATAATAATTAATATATTATATTATATATAATATATTAATATAATATAGTAATATAATTAACTGCGACTGGAGAATTGGCTCTGAATTAGTCTTTAATCAGGTCAACCGTTACAAAATGTGCAGCCACGAGGCTGCACTCAAGAGCCCCGTGCTCTTTTTACAATATTTGCAAGGGATGTTGATGATGATTTGCTCGCGCAGTTGCTGGAAATCTTTTCTCGCGACGGTACGCTATTTCGGTATTATAGATTTCGTCGATAGTCGCTAGAACGCAGGTGGTCAGCGCGATTACTATTCGACTGCATTACTATTCGTTCGCGATATAAAACGTGATTTCACGTATTCGCGATAAAATGTTCGTACAAAATGCACGAGGGCACGGTAGCGAACGACTGAAAATCGGCTCGCACACGCTGACGCTGCTAGGATTCCCGAAATCTTCGCAATTACCGAATTTGAATCTTTAGCAAAGCTCGCGAAACGTGCAAGAATCTCCGAGCTGACCGAAAGAGTTGAATATCGGTGATCGCTGCGCTTCTCTTTGCAACGCGAAGTCTTCAAGGAAGTCATCCGCGACGGAAATAACTCGAAACTCCGTCGAACGACTCCGTCAAAATTCCCGGGAACGGAAACAAAAATCCGAGCTCCTCGAAATCTAATCCGTATCTCGCACCTACTTTCTAGCCGCCTCGCGAAAACCGACGAAGGATCGCTAAATGCAACTTACCCTCTCGCGCACCCTCAAGCCCTAGATTCCCTAGGTCCCATCGGGGCCGCAGATCCTCCCGGCTCCTTTGTCCCCGTTTCCTCGGGTCCGCCGTAACACACTCGGTAGTTCACTCAACAGTGATCCTTCGCGATTTTTCGACAACGACGGTAACCGATCCTCCGTACCCCCCACTCTACTAATTAGCGGACCTTGGCCCGATTGGTTCGCCTAATCACGCCGTATGGAGTTCCTACAGAACCGTTTGCGAATGGTCGTTGCCCCGAGGCCGATTCCAACTTTTCTCGCAGGGTCGCGGGTTGCCGTTGCTCCGGCGGCCGGAGAAGTCCCAGACATCCTCTCATCATGGAGTCCTTCCTTGCAGGGTCTGACGGCTGCGGGACATCAAATGCGAACGTTCTTCGGAACTCTGGTGATTTATGGACCGTGGTCCTGGACGTTCCCGGGTTTCTTCGCACCTGTGCGGGGTGACCCTGGTCCTTCGACTGGGCGCAGGATACTTCGGGATGGCCAGTAAATTAGAGTACGGTCCTAAAATCCGGTGGCAGTCGCGGGGCGCCCTTTTAGAGGGTTTTAGGCGAGTAGTTGCTTCGTTCCTGAAATCTCCGCCGGGTCCGGGCCGCGGAATATTAATTGGAAAGCCGCGATGACACTGTATTCTCCTCGAGGAGAAAGCGGTCCGGTTCGCTTCCCGGTTCCTTCCGCTATTTTATAGGGGAAAAAGCGACGTCGCAGAACTCTGCGTTCGTCATATTATCGAGGATCAATTCCTATAACTATGGATCGAAGTACGATGGATTTACAGAGCCGCCCGAAATCCGCAGGAGATTCGAGACGTTCTCAGAAAACAACAGGGTGGTTCGTTCAACAAAAGGTTCTTTATTCAAATCAATCGAATTAACAATCCGAGATAGCTTCTTAACAAAAGGAGGTCCTTCGTCTTGTTAAACGTGATAATACTTTTAAAACCGCGCCCGTTCAGTCTCTCGCGCGGATCGCCCGCGCGATCATCCCCTCGATCAAGAACGATGAAACAGTTTCACTCGAACGGCTTCGCCTCGTAGCCACTTGGCAGGGGTCGAACGGCGGCCAGGGGTTCACTATCAACCACCCACCCGCGCCGTTCACCGCGACGACTAGTGCCAGCTCAGTCCCATCCCCGAATAAACACTTATCCGACTATCTCTTCGCAGCGTCTACGAAGCTCCGGTCTCCGAAAGTTCAAGCTTTGAACGCGACACGATCTGTCGGCCGAGCGAAGGATCAAACGAAATCTGGACAGCCGCGCCGCTCCATGGACAACTATACCGCATATTTAATATTTATAATACAAATGAAGATCGCGGCGATGATCTAATGATGGGTGACGTAGGTCTGCGTGTTCTGCTGGCAGCCGGGCAGCAGGTTCGACGTGTCCTCCTCGGCCGAACTGCAGAGCATGCCGACGAGGGTGTAATCGACGAACGGCGGCAGATCGAGCTCGCTGACGTCGCCGTAGCTGTTCATTTGCGTGGTCCCGGTGTTCATGGCCATCTGCGGCAGCCTCGTGTCTAGCACCTCGCAGGTGTAATGGCACCGGTCGTTGCTGGGATAGAAGAAAGGTTCCGGGCTGTTCTGCGACTGGATGTCCATGCCGCTCGAGTCCGGGAGTAACAGTCTTTCGGTGGAGTCGGGGGTCTCGTGGCTCCCGTAGCTCGGCTGCAGTCTCTCGTCCAGCACCATTCTGTTCGAATTCTGGTGGCACCGGCTCGCCATGTGGCTCTTCTCCTGCTCGAACATCTGATTGTAGCCGGCGTCGTACGAGAACTGCTTGTTGTTCTCTGCCGGGCTGCGGCCAGGACGAGCCTCCGTCAGCTCGGTCTCCTTCTTCGGGTACATGTTGTAGTTCTCGAGCAGGCTGGGTTGACAGTTCTCCTTCGGGAAGCAGTTCGCGTCCCTTCTGGTGGTCATCAGTCCCTCGTCCTTCTGCGGATCGAAGCCGGGGAAGGTCAGACGGTCGTCCTGGCTCCAGTAGCCCGGCTGCTGCTGGTCGTTCTTCACCGTGCCGTCCACGAAGTTCTTGTGGTTCTGGTTCCGCTGGTACTCCTGAAAGTTCAGCGCGTTGTTCAGGTGGTTCTGGCTGATCTCTTTCTCGGGGACGAAGTGGCTGTTCACCGGTCTCTTCCCGCAGAATCCGTTCGCGTCTTTCTCCGGCTCGAAGCCCGGGAACTGCAGCCTGTCGTCCTGCGGCATGCTCAAGTGGCTGCTGCTCGAGTCCTCGCTCAAGAACTGGTTCCAGTAGGCCTGGTCCTGGTGCTGCTTCATCTCGTACTTGATCGTCCCGCTGCCGAGGTCCAGCAGCGTGGGCGGCGATCTGGCCACGTCCTGGGAGTTCAAGGGGAATTCTGGCCGCAGCGGTTGGTCCAGTTGGAAGATCTCTTCTGGTTGGAATAGTTCGCCTGTGAACGACGGGAAGTCCGGGTAAGAAGCTTCCTGGGGCACCTGGACCGGTAGACTGTAGCCCAACGCGTTCTCTTGAGGCTGCACGGGGTCCTGCATCCAGTAGGGGGTGTCGTTTGAGGGTGTTTGCTGAGGGTACATCGTCGTCTGATGGTGGTGAGAGGGTTGGTACGTGGAGATGTTCGTTTGGAGGCCGCACATGCACTCGAACGGTGGACAGGAGCATGAGTACCCTGAAACGAGAGGAAGTGGTATTAATTTTCAGGATTAATGGGGATGATTTAGAATTTTTTAATTGCAACTAGATTCGGATGATTTGTTTCTTTGTCGTTTCTATTCTGCTGCTGTTTTTGAGTCAGCTGTATATTATAAATAATATATAATATAGTAATAATATATATAATAATAATAATGATAATATAATATTGTCTTTAATAAAACGCGAAATTGGCGAGGTTATGTGTACTATTTAGTATTTTATTATTGGCCTACTAATAGGACTTTCACTAATTATCGCTCATATGTAAATTATAAAATATTATTTGTAACAGCCTTTAAAATATAAAATAAATAAATATTGAATCAAGCTCTATTGAACTTTGTATTGTGATATTTTATATATAATAATTTTGACGATGCTCGCTAAGATCTACAGTCAAATTTCAACACGTATTATTAATTACGAGTTCGAGTAAATGTACGACTAAACAGAAGTTAAAGTAATTATATTATATATATTATAAAACTAAAATAATTATGGACAAGTTGAAAATCTATAATAATCCATTCGCGATAGAAATCGATTTGAATTTCCGCGGGCAATTGGCAGTGAGCCTGGTAACTGGCGCCGCCTGGCGGTTAAAGCTCGTATTAATGGCTGGTTTCGAAGAGAGCGGGAAGAGATCAAGCTCGTTTCTTTCTCGGGTAAAATACGATTTCTATCGTCAATTTCTCGCAAATTACACGGCGATAGCTTCGCAGAACTGTTTTTTATTCGTGGGGATAATAGACAAAGTATTTCAAAGCTTAAAAGATATAAACCTTTGTCCGAAATCAGCGGCGGTGGTTGCGTGGCTCTTGCGGGCTGTTCGATCGCTTCCGAGCTCGGTCTTTTCGTTCCTCTCAGTGACATTAACTGTAACAAAGTGAACAAATTTCATCGTTTGTCGTGTCCGAATTTTTTGAAGAAGAGACGAGTGCGGTGTCAAGTAACATCTGTCGACCGGCGACCAGTATTCTACTTTGAAAGTCAACTTCCGGTGAGTCGCGATACATACAGGGTGGCCTAAAATTATAGTATTTCCGGAAAATGGGGGGTTCCTCAGGTCATTTGAAGCAACTTTTTCGAAAAGCGAAATTGCAATCCGCGACTTTATTTACGAGTTATTAACGATAAACTGTGACTAACGAGAGGCGAGCGCGAAGCCCAGTTCCGTTCATTGGCTCGCGCCAGCTGATCTCGCCTCTCATTGGTCATTGTTTTTCGTTAATAACTTGTAAACAAAGCCGCGGATCGCATTTTCGCTAAGGAAAAAGTTACTTCAAATGACCTCAGGAATCAGCCGATTCACCAATTCTAACACCTCGTACTATTTTATAAAATTATATTAAAATGTATCCATTAAAAAAAACCTGTTTATATATATTTATAAATATTAAAATTTCGGAAAGTATTTTGAAATAATTTATATAAAATCTATGACATTACTTATTTGTTTATTATTCAATCAGTAGCAAATTGTGCTAGGACCAGATATCTCAAGTATTAATTTAGTAATTATTCCAGTCTGGAANAGCTCGGTCTTTTCGTTCCTCTCAGTGACATTAACTGTAACAAAGTGAACAAATTTCATCGTTTGTCGTGTCCGAATTTTTTGAAGAAGAGACGAGTGCGGTGTCAAGTAACATCTGTCGACCGGCGACCAGTATTCTACTTTGAAAGTCAACTTCCGGTGAGTCGCGATACATACAGGGTGGCCTAAAATTATAGTATTTCCGGAAAATGGGGGGTTCCTCAGGTCATTTGAAGCAACTTTTTCGAAAAGCGAAATTGCAATCCGCGACTTTATTTACGAGTTATTAACGATAAACTGTGACTAACGAGAGGCGAGCGCGAAGCCCAGTTCCGTTCATTGGCTCGCGCCAGCTGATCTCGCCTCTCATTGGTCATTGTTTTTCGTTAATAACTTGTAAACAAAGCCGCGGATCGCATTTTCGCTAAGGAAAAAGTTACTTCAAATGACCTCAGGAATCAGCCGATTCACCAATTCTAACACCTCGTACTATTTTATAAAATTATATTAAAATGTATCCATTAAAAAAAACCTGTTTATATATATTTATAAATATTAAAATTTCGGAAAGTATTTTGAAATAATTTATATAAAATCTATGACATTACTTATTTGTTTATTATTCAATCAGTAGCAAATTGTGCTAGGACCAGATATCTCAAGTATTAATTTAGTAATTATTCCAGTCTGGAAGCATTCTTAAATTACACGTTCTTGCAATTATTATCTATATAGGTATTTAAATATCTCATAAAATCATTTTTACCCTTGCCTCGTTCAATGCCTGCTTAACAATTTATCCGAACTCTAATTACTAAATTGCAGATTTTCGTGCAAAACAAAAATTGTTTACACTCATTGAAACAAACGCGAACTATATAAACATTTATTTGTTTATATAACGATTTTAACGATTTAAGAGTAATTCTTAACAGAGTTATTTTAACAGCTATTTATAATTCGTTCAAATAGATTTGCTTTTTCGATTCACTCATTTCTGTCATGAATGCATAAAATTAATGCATTAATAGTTGGAAAGAAAGTTAGAACAGTCTGTTCCCAGTTTCTGAAAGTATCGTTCCCGAAGTGATTAGATGCTGCTAGCAAGCGAAGTTAGGTGAAAAGAACATACTTTCGAGCCCAGAGCAGCCTCGCTGGCTAAGAGAACAGCGAGTCCTCGCACCCTTCTACCGGCGCCCACGCTTCTTCTCGCCTCAGACGTAGATTTCGCTTCCGGTCGAGGATGGTCGTGTTGTCCTTTCGCTTGAAAGAATATCGCGTGCTCGGTGTGCCTCCAGAAATGCGTCACAGGGTAACCGCAATGACCACGGCACGAGAGGATCTCCAAACGGCCCGTGCATTGCCTGTTAGGGCACGGTTTCCCTTGTTGCTTTTTCCTCGCCTAAACAATAACGATTGTTTGTCACGATTAATTCGCGATCTCCTTAAACTATACTAAAAAATTTATCTCCTTAAACTATAGTAAAATTGTTGAGAATCTCTCTGAGACGATAACAGTGCCAAGATTTAACCCTTACGCGATATGCTAGAGTCACGAGTGACCTAATATTGTATTTCTTTTCTAGCAGAAGTTTAATTCTCCGTACTTTTATCATTTTATACACTGACTAAGAATAATATGCAGTCGATGGTTTATTTATGGAATTAGATTGACACATATTTTCGCACCTTCTACTTCGCGATTTTAACGTAGAGTCTTGTTCATTCGATTTAGGGAAAACTAATTATTACAGAGAATATTTTTCATTTTATTGAAGAAAACGACAAGTTGCGATATGGATATTCTTTAAACATCTGAAAAGGATCAGAGCAAAAATTCGAACACAAAGGATGATGTCCTTCGAAGTGTTCTCTCTCTCTCTCTCTCTCTCTCTCTCTCTCTCTCTCTCTCTGTCTCTCTCGGATAACGTAGATTGAAAGTAAATTACATTTTATCTTTGCAAAGATTGAAAATGCTGTCTTATCGAAATGATGATTGATAACGATGGATTTCGATGATCACCTAAGCTCACCTTGTCGCAAATAGCCGGTCGAAGGTGAACCCTTCCACCGCCAGGTAGGATGCACTCCTGTGAGCACACAAGGACACCGAGGCACGATTTCTTCAGAATACTGACATTATGATTGTTTGTGTTCCTCATCGCCCAACCTGAGGCGTGCCTTCTTGCCTCTTCGCAGTCTGGCCCGTAGACCCTTCTTACGTGTCCGTCTGCCCATTCGCACCAAGGATCGTACTCCACCACCTTGAAATAAATCATTCCGTTAATTTCCTCGGCCCCGTATGACGTTAAAACTTCTTTTTTTTTACGACGTAAGCTCACTCTGTATCCTAAAACACCGTTCACCGGAATGCGTGACGATTCAATTTTCATGAGAAAAACTTCGTTCGACTTCACACGGATGATTTAGACCCGAAGTTTTAGGGGATGGTTATGTCTCGTACTTTTTAACCATTGCGCGTTGTTACACTCCTCGAATCGAGCACGACCAAAATTATTTTATAATTTAGGAGATTCGTTCATTTACTGCTTTTGTGCACATAATATAATAATGTCAAATGATAATGTTTATGATGATAATGCACGTTAGTTTGTACTGTAATAATAAGTGCTATAACAATGCCAGACTATTTAACAAATTCCTCAGATAGAAAAGATATGAATATGACAATTCCTCTTGACACAACCTTGACATAATCGATTAACAATGCATAATAATGACACTCGAACCGCGACTGTTTTGATAAAAATATCAATATATACTTATAATTTTATTCATCAAATTCTTTCAACACATTTTTGACAGTACTCGTTCCAGTCATGTTAGTTTCTCTGTAAACGTTAACATTCTAGCAATGAACCATTTATAATTTTCTTCATTAATTTTTGTTGATATATTTGTTATGATATTCCTAGACACGTTATTAACAATTAATCGTCAGTAACCACGTAGTGAAAAGATATTAATTCTTTGGTTCCAAGTGGACCCGAATCACGAAGTCCAAGCGTTACAGGAACATTTAACACTAAACCTACCACCGTCGGTCAAATGACCGGTTTCACATTTTTTATTTCATAATTGTCGAAGTCACGAAGCTGCTTTCATTAAAAATCGTTCAATATATTTCTTCGTTCAGGCACATACTATTATAAAAATCGTAGAAATTTCGAATAAATCCTATCTTGTAATTCTTATGAAGCAATTTCTGTTAGTCGCTTTCAGCCCTTGGTATGTTTAGGGTTAAATTAATTGTCAGAAGTTGTGCAGTTTCTGAATATGCAGTCAATATATGTATATTCTGGGTCGAAACGGCCAATTTTACGAGACTCTTGCTAGAACAGTAACTAAAAAGGATCCGCAGAAAGCTGGACATTGTCGAAACTACGTGGAAATAACGTTTCCTTGCGCCGCCATAAAAATCGCCCGCGACGAGTCCCGTTCGTGAAAGCATCCCCTGATTTACAGTCCCGTGTAAAATATTTCGCACGTAGATTCGGAAAACATGTGAGCACATATAAAGGCAATAATTCACAAGCAGCCTCCCGTAAACAGTGTCGTATTCTTCGCCGGACTACCTGGCCGCGTTTTTGTTCCGAAGTCAGTAATTCTCAACGTGTGACGGTCGTTTCCTTGACCATACACGGGGATTACCCAGAGCACGAGATTTAATTGCGCCTCGAGGGCGGGGGAATAATTACCCTCGGTACGTTCGAGTCGTTGATGTCCCATTCCTGATGAGGGTGCTGTTGTTGCTGATTGCCGGCCACCGTCGCTGACATCGTCGGCGACCCAACGCGACTCCTTCAACAGAAAATCACATCCTTGCTGCAGAAACGATGACAATCTTTAATGAATTTCGCATGCTTAACACTAAATCCCGTCGACAATCGAATTGTCTTCTTCGTAGATTTTATTTTGCTATTTTGTACAGTCGGTGTGGAAAGTATTCGCACAGTGACCAATAGAAAGTAAAACTATGGATATCCATGCTAGTAATTAATTTTACGGGGAAACAATGATTAATAAATATTCCTAGACGTTTGTGGAATACAGTTTTTGTGAACAGAATTTTATTTCTCTTTGGTATTAGAAAAATATCAGAAACAGACGCGTAGAAATAATTCGCATAGTGAACAATAGAAAGTAAAACTATGGATATCCATGCTAGTAATTAATTTTACGGGGAAACAATGATTAATAAATATTCCTAGACGTTTGTGGAATACAGTTTTTGTGAACAGAATTTTATTTCTCTTTGGTATTAGAAAAATATCAGAAACAGACGCGTAGAAATAATTCGCATAGTGAACAATAGAAAGTAAAACTATGGATATCCATGCTAGTAATTAATTTTACGGGGAAACAATGATTAATAAATATTCCTAGACGTTTGTGGAATACAGTTTTTGTGAACAGAATTTTATTTCTCTTTGGTATTAGAAAAATATCAGAAACAGACGCGTAGAAATAATTCGCATAGTGAACAATAGAAAGTAAAACTATGGATATCCATGCTAGTAATTAATTTTACGGGGAAACAATGATTAATAAATATTCCTAGACGTTCGTGGAATACATTCTTTGTGAACAGAATTTTATCTCCCTTTGGTATTAGAAAAATATCAGAAACAGACGCGTAGAAAGAATTCGCATAATGAACAATACAAAGTAAAACTATGGATATCCATGCTAGTAATTAATTTTAGGAGGAAACAATGATTAATAAATATTCCTAGATGTTTATGGAATACATTTTTTGTGAACAGAATTTTATTTCCCTTTGATATTAGAAAAATATCAGAAACAGACGCGTAGAAAGTATTCGTACAGTTAAATGATAAACGAGAAAATACTATGAAGATAAATTAAATCATTAACGGTTTAATAATTTGTGGGATTTTTATCTTAAAATAGCGGCGTCGAAGGAAGAAATTTCGTCTCCTCCTCCCAAAAGAAGACTTAAATAGGGTGGTCCTTGTTTATCGACATTCTGTTTTCTTCGGTCGTATACTAAATTGTGACACTTGTAGGGAAAATGATGCGTGCAAAATTTAGAAGCAATCAGGCAACGGGAACAAATGCAATTGCGTCAACGTTTAAACAATTGTAACCCTCGTAGCGCAGGTGGATCATTTATCGTTGTTTTAATCGAGCCTTGTTGCCATCGAATGTGTTTGAATTTGTTGTCTCCTGGATGTTGTATATTTTGTATCTATTTTATGCCACTCCTCTAGTAAAACGGCACACACAATTTCAATCAATTCAATCTCATTATTTTCGCAATGGAATAAGTGTTGATCGCTGTTAGAGCTCACTAAGTTTAACCCTAGAAAGATAACCATATGACAACGTACGTAAAAGATAACCATACGCTTCAGAGGCGCATGCTTTTCTAAGGCGTCAATTTTATACTAACAATGGATATTTATTTAAGTTAATCTAGTCATTTTAAAGGTTTGGCATTATTGTAAAAATAAAATGCATTTATATTATATTTTTTTATATTTTAAGTAATTTTAAACTTAAATCACTAGACCTCTATGAAAAATTAACAAAAATCAACAGTCTTCGCAGGCGTCTCTGCGACGTAGGTTATCTTTCTCGGGTTAACACCGAACGAATTGGATGAATCGTGGCACCTTTTCTCCAGCAACTTTACGCCCGGATAAAGTTGAAAATATTTCTGGAATGACGCGCCGGATTGGTCGGATTGTTCGTACCATTTTATCGACAGCGATCGACTTAACCGGCGGCACTAGCGAATCTCGTGATTTACGAACGAGTTACAAACAAGCCCTGATTTATGAATCCGCCGAGGAGCCCATAAAAAGTGGGCACAAGAGGGATCGTTTTCCGAAGGAATACATACGAATGAACGAATAAACGAACGAACGAACGAACGAACGAACGAATATCCAAGGGAAGAAAATTCTCGATGGAAAGCCCGACTACCGGAGATCGATGTTTTCCCACTGCGATCAGGAATCGTTCGCGGCGAACATAAGGATTCCGGAAAGCCGGTGGACGTGGCCGTTGTCAGGCCACCCACGGGCTCCCATAAGTATGGCGCGAGGTACGGCCAGGTACGCACCATAAATCGGGATTTTATCTCGAAGCTGCTGGCCCCTTGGCACGTCGGCCATTGCGTAATCCTAAATTGGTCTTGCGGCCCGATGCAGCGAGCTTTAGGTTTCGGGAACTCAAGGTCGACCTTTCTTTATTAACCTAATTTCGCGTGCTAGTCGGCTCGTTACGCTTCGCGGCTCGATCGCCGCTCTATGATCCTCGTTTCCTGTAGATCGGGAGACATTGAAACTTGATTTTCTTGGTGATGGATTATTATTATTGTTATTATAATTACAGTCGTAGCAGCAGTCTTACGGAGCTTGAATATTAGCTTGTACTTATTTCTATAGATTCATTTTTGTTCCTTTTTATTTTCACATTTTCTTCATTTTTAATTCATTTTGCGTAAATTCATTTGTCAACCCTTTTAGCGCGGAAAACGATGTATCGTTGTTGACTATGCTTTCATTGTTATTCTCTTAATATTTTTATATTAATATATTAAGTTTTATATTAATATTTGTCTTTATATGTTCTCTTAATATTAATATTTTTATTTCTTATTTCTTCTTCATCTTTGAATTTTCCAATTATCAGGTTTTCGGAATTGTTATAATTTCTGTTCGGAAGATTCAGAAATGATTTTGAAATTTAACGCAATCATAGTCTCATTGGAGGAATCATAGTATGCTAAAAATCTCCGTCAGAATGAAATCAAATTTAGAGTCTAATTGTTCTTATTATTATCAGTCAAAAACGTTTAAAATATTGCTTCAAAAATAACAACATGCAATTATGTTTGACAATCAAACGAAACCACTGACTATTTTAGCGTCGAAAATTAGTATTAAAACAATGACAAATCATCCTCCTGTGCTACGAGGGTTACAATTATTTAAACTTTATTTAAATATTATATTAAATATTATAAGCTTTATTTAAACTTATTTAAACTTAAACGCAAGTGCGTTTGTTCCCGTTGCCTGATTGCTTCCAAATTGTGCACGCATCATTTTCCCATCAAGTGTCACAATTTAGTATACGACCGAAGAAAACAGAATGTCGATAAACAAGGACCATCCTATTTAAGTCTTCTTTTGGGAGGAGGAGACGAATAACTTAGCTTTCTTCCTTGGACGCCGCGTATTTTTAGAATTCGTGGGTCCACGATGATGTAAGGTCGCGTAGGTTACGCTCATTGGATCCGACTGGTTTATCGAGTATTGGCCGCGAGCAGGTCACTTCGCGAATATTCGCCGGTAAATTATCGTGCGTTTCGGGGGCGAAGCTCGCCGCTTGATTTCGACGCGGGATCGTCGGCGTACGTTATAAACATCGCCGGCCGGAGTGTCATTGACCATGAAGAGGCCCATGAAAGAAGCGGCTCGCCTACGTCTTCTGGTGCCAACCTGCTGTCGATGGCCTTTCACTTCCATCATCTTTCCCCTTCGTTACATAGAATTCTTCGAAATATCTTCGGCCTATTGTCCGGTACGCGCATCAAAACCGTTGCCCAATTTCTCACAAAAATTGTGCATGATATTGTACATGCGTACAGTGTCGGACATGATCGAAGATCGGGGACGGGATGGTCAATGTTCGAAACAAGCATCTATTTAATAATAATAATATTTATTGATACATAGGTACACAAAAAGCTCCGTTGTTACAAACAGCTTAAGACTATTCGCAAACAAAGAAAAGAAGGTAGAAAAAGGAAAATGGAATGAAAATATGGAAAAGGAAAAGTAACAATGATAATGAATATAAATTAAATCGCAATAAAAGAGAAGAACGAGAAACAATAATTGATGATAATAATAATAAAGGTAATAATGACAATAGTAATGTTAATGATAATAATAACAATAATATTAAATCATGATAATAAGAACAAAAATAAATGATAATAATAACAATAATAGTAAATGATAATATAGTAGTATCTCTAAATAAATTTAATTTTCACATCGAGTCGAAGGTTTGTCCGAAGAAGACCTGCAACCAGCAGCTTTCTGAAAACGATCGACGTTCAAAATACATTTTCATTAAGCTTTCAGGTCAGCTTGAAACGTTGAGATGCGAAAATATCGCAGAATAGACAGTCGATGCCCAAAGGATCTTCCACGTAGCTTCCAAATTGATATAAAATATCAAACGGCAAAACTTGATGGAATATCGACTACTCCAAAACGTTAGCCCGCAATTATCAGCATTTCGAATACACAAAATGAAAGACAGCTCGAAACTGTCGATCGAAGGGACACGATAACGCGGCACAAAATTGCTAAATCGAGCGTTTCGCAAATGGAGCAACAGTTTCAAGAACGAACGAGCCATCAAGCCATCGTCAGCTCGAACGACGACGCAGGCAGCGTCTCGCTAGGAATTTTATAGACCGCGAGGATCGACCGTCGATCGAAATCCATCGAGCTTTCGCCGATCTTTGCGGATCGTCGAAGCGGAGAGCCGTGCAAGACCAACAGGCTTCGAGTAGGTGTTCGAGGATCGTAAACGTCCATCGCGCGACTCGATAAAACCCACGGAAACGATGTGTGCACGCACCTAACGCGTAACCTGTACAAACGCTCTAGAAGGCATGCCTGGGGCCTCCTCGAGGACCTTGGTCCCATCGCCGCGCGCGATTCGCGGGGCTCAAACGGTCCGCGGACTTACAGGGTGCGTCACAGCGCGGGGACTTGCACTGTATATTTGATCGCGGGGACGATTACTAT